ATACGCCATGTAGATTCCCTTTTGATGCAACCAAATTAAAGTTTGCACAGGAAAATGTGACGCGAAAGAAAACACTTAAGCGCAAAACCCCAATATGAAGTGGCACTACTTAGGACTGCCATGTAAATATATAGTCGTACATGTCTACATACATATATATTTGTGTCTGTATGTTTCCAAGCCTGCTTATTTATATGACAAGCACTGAGCTACATGTGGCAATTTGGCACGTATATTTTTTTACTTATACACACACACACACTTACAAAGGCATATGTTTGTGTACATTTGTAAGTACACGGTTATCTAAACACTTCCGCTGCAATTGCGAAAAATAGGTGCACATGCGGATCGCAAGTTAAACCTCATCTTCGGAAGTAGTCCGCAGGCTCAACGGGAGTTTGTGTACATTCAACACAAAATCACTTGCAAATAGAACTTTTGTGACGAAAGTGGCACTTGAGGCCGCTTTTTTTTTGGTCGCATTTCCATTATACCAACACAAAATTGGGTGGAGTGTACTTTGTTCACTTTATAAGTTAGATAAAGTACTTTCTTCATGCTGCACGCTGTTTGCGAATTCCCATTGGTCAAATACAGGTGCTGGCAAATACGGAAACTGTTGACATATTTTTGAAAGAAAAAGGCGAAAATGTTTGGGTGTGAATATATAATGAGTATAATCTCAACAAAATATCAATATAGACAAAAATTACTAATCTACGCATTTGCATGCCCGAGAGATAGAAATGGTGGGATTTGGATTTAATTTGGTATTGGAAAATCAGATTGTATTATTAAGCTATAATTATGTATATGTGATTTGTTAAAGTTCTTATGTGATATGCGATATTTCCATAGTATAATAAATTTTTTGGGCAAAATTCATTTTTTTTTATTCAACATAGTTCCCTTCAAGGGTGATACACTGATTATAGGGTCGCTCACTTTTCGATACCATATTTGTAGTAATATTTGACCTTTGCTTCAAAATAGACCTTAGTTTCGGCGATCACCTCTTCATTCGACGAAAAATTTATTCCCAGCGAGCATTCTTTTGAGCTCTGAGGACAGAAAATATCCGCTGGGGGTATGAATAGGGTGGACAAAAAGCAGTTCGAAGCCCGATTAATGGAWTTTGGCCATCGTTTTGGTTCACTTGTAACACTCGAAACTGGATACAAAACTTTCTGGCTCGGGCTTGAAATGTGGTATTTTTTTATCATTTGTAAAATAGCTATAACTTCGGAAATAATTTAAATTTTGAAAAACCCTTTTAGGGGAATATTTTTGAATATCTAGATTGCTGAATTATGAAAAAAAAACTATTTTTGATTTTTTCAAATTTTTAGAATCCTTCAACTAAAATTATAACAAACAAGTTCTTTGTTCATGAACGTATTTTCTTCAGCCACAGTTTTGAATATATAGAGTTTGATATGAACCGCTTCTTGGGAAGAAAAATTAAAATTTTCTAAACGATATTTCATAAACTGACATTAGTTCGTTTATAAACATACACACGCGTATAGCTAAATTGACTCAGCTTGTAACGTTTATTTATACATATACTATACCTTATAGGGTCTTCGACGTTTTCTTCAGGATATTATAAATTTCGCGGCAAAACGCCCAGCTTAAATTGGAAACATGAACCGARCTCGGCAGCTCTGGAGAATCAATGGCGCCAATGCGCATTGCATTAGAGTTTATAGTAGCTAAAGCAGGGGCTCATGATAACTATTGTCTTCATGTAAAAAGAAATTAAAAAACGTGTTGAAGTCACTCGGTACGCGCGACAACATCTGCAACATGCACTGATTAGAACGTTTGACATTAAGCTTAATGAGCTTTCAGTATTGACATGTAACATGTGATGTTTGTATATATACAGCTATCACATAACACGAGCTCGTTTGCTTTTTATGTAAAGATAGACAGTAACCAAAAAGAATTTAAGTCTAYAAAATATCCCATGTGCGTTTTTAATCTTATCTGTCTCAAAAACAAAAAGTGAAACAATAGTCTGAAAGCATTGAGCAATTGCAGAAATATAATAAACGCCCATAATTTTACGCCTCAAAATATTTTATCACACAGCTTAGCGCGACTTGTGTATTTATACCGTTAATGATGCGCTSAGCCATGTGTAAATAAAACAAATCTCGTATATGCTRTATATAAGTATGTTTGTATGTATATGTATATATCTATATATGTGTTTATAATTTATATTACGACTTCTTTGCATGCCTAAAGCTATAATGCTGTAAAGTTATCTGGATCATTTGTTGTTTTCAGTTTTGAATATTTTCCGGATATTTTTTAGTAATTAGACTTTTTTCTAGGCATATTTCGAAGTGTGTTAAGTGTTTTTGAATATATAATTAAGCTCCTAACCACAACGACGAAATTATTATTATCGACGAAAAGCATTAATTATATTGCTTTTTTCTGTTTTATAGGCATGATCCAAAATAGTTTTCAGGAATATTATAGAGTATAAAAAAATTAGTGGAATTTTAATTTATATTTTTTATTTTATTTTTAAACCCAAACAGACTTTATTGGCTAATCGTTGTAAAAGCTGAATTCTGTGATCGCTCCTGAATATATGCTACATTTTTTTCCGCTGTATTTCTAAATTTACAAAAAATATCTACAACCCTATGTTGCATATTTTATTAAACTGTAAAATAATAAATACATACACACATATGTAATTTATTGCGTAAAGGGTATGAAGTTGGAAGCTAAAGCAGAATACAGCGCATTCTTGCCTGCTCATTCATTTATTACCAATCAGTTGCGTATTTTAAACGGAGCTAAAAGCAGGTTTTCACTATAAACGCTTTGACAATTCGCTAGCAATTACAATAAACTAATTGAAATACTCAAAAATATATACAGTTTTATGAAGTGGTAAATATACATAGTACATATGCTCTTAATAAAAAATATATTTCAATGATTTTTTTACACCAATAAGTTGAAGTTAAATGGAGCGGAAAAAGTCTCTTATATACATACATATATGTACATATATATAATATAAATTTTGGGACATATTCATCCACATAGCGGAAAGTTTAGTGAATATTAGAAGGATTATGCGAATAAAATTTCCAAATGAAAACAATCACATTCAGTAGTGACAGATATATATACAATTAGAATGAGGTGATTTGCACATATTCAATTTCTGTATCAAGACAAATGCTCACGAAATCAGTTATACGCTAGATCAAGATTAACCCGGACTGACCCGAACTGACTCGAACTGATAAAAAATCTGCATTTTCGCATATTTTAATACAAAACTTCAATTCTTCTATTCTATTTTCTTCTTATTATCCGATAGACTCAATCTAATATATACTTTTATTTTATTTTATATAATTAACCATTTTTTCTGAATTTGAAAGAATTACAAACTAAAATTTCGAATTCGGTACCACAGTGTAACAATYGGTATAACAAATGCAAAATGACAATGAAATTCTTCTTATGTAAATATGTACACAGACAAGACATATGTATACATATGTACGCATATAGTTYACATGAAATTTGTTTAATCCACTTAATTTTTTATTTGAATATGAGTAAATAAATAGATTGAAGACAGTTGAAAACGCCTCAAATAAACATTAACTATTTACTTTTAACTCTACCTGCCTGAAGGTTATTAGAATATGATCAAAAGTRGAGCTTTGAGAGTTAAATACAATAATATAGMMCTCATTGGTACGAYTTTTTACGTGGCGGGTCCCAAACCCAGCCCATAACCCTRAGGATGGGAKGTTTCGCCTTCTTTTTTGGCTATCCAATGGATACTTGGTCCAAGACCGGAAGTCGTGAGCTACTGGCCACTCCAAAATGAAGGGCGCTCAGAGAACTTTCCTCATTTGCGTGAACTTCTGCACATTGCTCCAAAAGCGCAAAGAAGAAAGCGGTGTCTACGCCAATAAGGAATAGGAATATAGCCCTTAGTTATCAAAGAAAATGCAACCAATCCTAAAACATATTTTTGAAATTATATTACTCCCAAATGTAGGCTAAATATTTCCATACAAGGGATATTCTAAATTGATAAAAAGAAATACTTTGATGTATATTTGCCCATATGACCTACAATATATATATATATAACTCAAAGCAAATTAGTAGCATACAATAAAATGATTCAAGAATAAATTAATAATTTTCGAATGTTCAAAATTGCCACTAAAATGCCATGCAAAGGCTTTAAAAGCTTCKAAGTATAATTATACAGAAACTCTAATGAAACATTAAATTACTACTGTAGTGCCTTTCAAGCTGAGGTGGCAGGTATTAAGATGACAGCAGATATACTTCAACGAAGTGCGGCTTCTTATTTTTTAAGGAGGAATGCATCCACCTGTTAATTGTATCTAAGCAGAACTGATGAATAGAACTTTGTAGATATACAACGATCTTTTTGATCCGTATTTAGGAGTTCTAGTTAGCACAACGGATGGACGAGCGTCTCTAGCAGTCCACATGGTATCATTCCTCGTCTCACGTGTATCAGCCTCTTTATTTAAGCCAACCTAACCTAAACATTAAGTATGTATATTAGACAATAGACCTAAGGTCACGCTGCAATACTCATCTATTTATCTTAAGCATATTAAACTGAACCTACACAGTAAGAGCAACAAGATTATTTATCCAAATAATTTATTCCAACCAATTAAGCTTATTGCTTTGTAAGCTAGCAGTGTACCAAGGTGTCTGAAACAGCTGTGAGACCGTTTAGAGCAGCAAACAATATCAATAAAAAATAAATAGTACTATATATAATATAATTGAAAAGTCCGCAAATGTTAAGAAAACAGTTATAAATATGTGTGGCATGCCAGAGTCAAGGTGTATTTATGCTCAAAGAGCAGCAATAACTGAGCCAACACAAGCACACATGTATAATGTAATCGCTCCAAAATGTCGACATTCTCTCAGCTTTATTGTATTTATAGGGAAATGAAAAGCATTCTGTAAATGTCGTTGACGAGGCGAGGCGGCGGTTGAGAAGTGCCTTCCAAAGCGGTTCGACAACGAGCTAAAGAACCACACGCTCAGCGGAAAACAGACAAAAAATGCGTCGCCCGAAATTTTCGTTGAAGAAATATTTTTATTTCACACTCTTTTGCGCGCTACTTCTGATATTCGGATTCAATTTGCGGTAAGTCGAAACACACGTCCACCCACACGCAACTGCTTAATTAAATCGTTAAACTTCGTACGCCTTTTAGTGAACATGAAATTTGGAAATCGAAAAGCGCAGCACCACAAGCACAAGCGCGTTCACCAGACGAACAAGCCGTGCAACCTTATACGCACATCGCCATCACTGTGGCGTCGGATGATGAGGCAGGGGCGCTGAGCGCACACGTCGACGACTCGGGCGAAGCGCCTGCGCTTAGCACCAACAACGCGCCACCCATAGACGCTGTAAATAATGAATTGAGCGAACAACAACAGCAGCAACATTTGCATCCAGGACAGGTGCCATTGGAAAACACCGCTGCACGTCCTTGGTTCTTCCGGCAGGGCGAGTACTATCCGAAGCCAGCGCACGCCGCGCCTACGCGTACAGGGCAGGGTAAACGTGGCAGTTATGGTGGTGGTGGTGGTGGCGGCGCAGGCGGCAGTTTGGTGCGTGGCAAGAAGCATGATCCACGCGGTGCTGGACTCTTCCCCTATCAAAACCCGCACAGTGATCGCATTGTCAATCAGTTGATGTATGTGCCGCCGAACTATGAGAAGGTGCGCGCCAGCGGACGACTGAAAATCATACTGCTCTACAATGGACTCGGTCCATGGAATGTAAAGCAAGGTAAACGCAATGCATATAACATTAGTTTTCAAATACTGGCTTAATCGCTTAATTTCAATAAAGGTCGTGATGTCTTCCTACGCTCGAAGTGTCCAGTGGATACCTGCGAACTGACATCGAATCGTGGTCTCGCCGACAAAGCCGATATGATACTCTATAAGGATCATTTTATACCGACTGGGCTGGGGCGACCAGCGAACCCACAGCAGATTAGCATGTTGTATTATCTGGAATGTCCATATCATACGCAAAATGTGAAAGTACCAGACGCCATTAACTGGACGGCCACCTACAGGTAAGCTTCTTTTGAATTCTTACTCCATCTCACCACTGACTGTTAGCTAATGCAACGAGCTTGACTTTAATTGCAGGCGTGACAGTGACATTGTGGCGCCTTATGAGAAATGGGTCTACTTTAACTCGAAAATCAACCAAGTGGAGCAGGATCACAATTATGCCATGAATAAAACGAAAAAAGTCGCTTGGTTCGTTTCAAATTGTGGCGCACGAAATGGACGCCTGCAATTCGCGCATGAATTGCAGAAATATATAGATGTAAGTATTTGGTGTTACTTATTTKCAATTATATGTTATTGTATAGAAARCACCGGCCATAAAAACAGAAGTGACAATGTAAACAAGGCGACTAAGCCAAATATTCTTCATGTACTTTAACAATGTTTTCGAAACATTTAAGCCTTCCCTTGAAATTATATCCTCCGAATTATATCCTTTACTTAACGCTGGAAATTTGTCCAATCGGTGTCCACAGTGCCAGATGCCAGTTTTAGAAGCTATTTCGAAGAAGGCGAAGTAGAAACATTTCAACATTTCCTTCTCGATTTCTGTGCCTTTGCAATAGCTAGACTAAAACACTTCCTATCTCACACCTTGGGACATCCAGGTGAGCTAGCAGGAAGGGGAATAAAAAAGTTAAGTGGATTGAAGATGGCATCAAGGTATCGGATTTAATTAAGGATTAATGGATTAACTGTTCCCTMGTGATACTGAGGATCTGCCATAGAATCTAGTCCACCATTCGTTAGTCGCAGCCTAAAATGCCGGCACCACAAAACTTCAGTTTCTCAGTCGSCWCGAAGTAATACTTAGCCGGCGGTTTCGTGCGACAGTCAAGAGTTGGGAGTAGGCTAGGTTTAGCGAATTAAATTTTCGCATTCCGGCTTTCAATGCTTCTCCATACGATAACAAAAGTTGTCTCATGAAACAGCCAAGTGTATTTCAAATCGAAAACTTTATCGAACTTCCAGCCAGAAAGCGTTAGGAAACTTTTTGGATCTGAAGACTATACAGTTTGTGGATCTGCGCCTGTCACGGTTGCATATATATTCTGCGGTCTAACCTTTTTCATTGTTTTTTATTGCCAACTCTTAATTACTCTATTCTTCTTTTTCATTTTTTTCATCCCTCACCTGACTACAACTCGTCTCTTATGCATTCTTCAACGCACACTTGTGTAGGTTGACATCTACGGCGTTTGCGGCAACTACAAATGTTCGCGCAACACCGCCGACAAATGTTTCGAGCTACTCGATCACGAATACAAATTTTACCTCGCCTTCGAGAATTCCAATTGCAAAGACTACATCACCGAAAAGTTCTTCGTCAACGCACTGCAACGCAATATTTTACCAATTGTAATGGGTGCACGTCCGGAGGATTATGAGGTGAGCTCACCACATCGTTCCTACATCCATGTCGATGAATTCGCCTCGCCCAAAGAATTAGCCGAATACTTGCACATACTCGATAAAGACGACGAACTCTACAATTCGTATTTCAAATGGAAGGGCACCGGTGAGTTTATCAACACGTACTATTGGTGTCGCGTTTGTGCCGCACTGCATGACGAGGAGTCATTACGTAAGCCGCGCTGGTACACGGACGTAAATGATTGGTGGCGCGGCGCCGGCGTCTGCACCAACGGTTCGTGGCGKAATTTTAAGGCGCGCAAGGATGTCATACGCGACGATTAGTGGCGACTGCCATTGGGTTATTGGCTGGCAATTGCAAGCATTGTTATTGAATATGTTAAGTAATAGTTTAAGCCATCTTTATAAAAACACAATACAATACAAAAACAACACATCAAATAATACCGAATTGCTTAGTGGATTGAATGTGGAATGCGGTGTGGAAGTGCGTGAATGGTTATACTCGTACGTATATGCATGCGTATGTATGTGTGCATGTGTTTGTAAGAATGAGTGTTTGTTAGTGTGACGCACAATTCGATGAGGTTAGACTCAGCAGCAGCGGCTAGTGGTTTCTGGCGGTAGGCAGGTGTTGACGGGAAGCTAACCGCTAAAGCAAAAAGCCACAGCCACATGAAACACATGAACATACATACACTTATAAAATTTATAAAAACAAAAACTAAGATAAGAAAATAGTTAGTTTCATCCGCACCGAAGCTATAATACCCTTCACAGGTATATTTCTTATAGCATAAAGGATTTTAAATGATCACTATATTCATTTTGAACGGTCGGTTTGTTTGGAAGCTATACAGGGTTTGTCCGGAAAGTAGTAGGACTGAGTCGATTTAAAAAAATTTAATGAACCAAGCGTTACAATTCTTTAAAAACTTTCAAAATAGGCTACTTCTGCGTCGACGCAGCGCTGCCAGCGCGATTTCCAAGCATTGAAGGCGTCACGGAAGGCATTCTCCGTAATAGACTTGAGAGCCGAGGTGCATGTTGCTTGGATCCCCGCCGTCGTCTCAAAATGCTTGCCTTTCAGCGGCCGCTTCAGGCAAGGAAACAAAAAAGTCCGAGGGAACCACATGTGGTTTGTACGGCGGCTTCAGAAGCGTTGAAGTCCTATTACTTTCCGGACAAACCCTGTATATACGGCAGAAATACAGGCTTGGTTAACTTGGTTAAATCAACTCAGTTTATCATGCTGACTATTTATACTATACATCCATGTATATACTTTATAGGGTCACCTGCTGTGTGTTTAAAACTTCGTGGCGTATTTAATATACCCTGTGCAGGGTATAAAAACAACAACTTGCTTACTTGCATTCGATAAAGAGAACATGAAGATTGTATACAGTAGCTATAGCGATGAAAATTAAAATTTGTAGCAACATTTTTGTATATATGCATGTATGTGTATGTGTACATAGGTATCGGCTTATGGAAAAAATAACGTTAAAAATTATTCAGTGGTGGCAAACGCGTAATTTGCAATTTTTGGTTAATTAATTTTTGTTTTTTAATATAAAAATTGTATAAATGATTTACATAGCAAAGTAAACCGAACTACATGCATAGATGCATTTGATAGCACACACAATCACACATACATATGTATGCAGCTATGTATGCACAAACGAATGTCTGTTGGCGCTTTTTTTACCCATAACAACAACATTTGTGGCGATTTTGCTGAAATTCAAACCGAAATCGCGCACATATGCATACAACATACATTCACACACACTTATACATACATAAGTTACGTGTATTTAGCTTGTAAGCGAATTTTACGCTAAGTTAGGCAATTTTTTTTATAGATGTGCGTAAGTAAGGAAAACAAATATCTGAATTACACAATAGCAATATGTATTTGTAAAATATATATAAATATACATACATACATATATTTAGGATAAGTATAAATGCACATAGATACATATGTACATAGATATGCACATATATTGCAACAAATATGCATACACATATTTGCAAATKTTTTTGTGTTAGCGAGTATTGCAAACGTATCATACGAAGGTCGTGAAATTCAACAACAAAAACAAAAAGAAAACAAAGAAAATCAGGAACAAAAACTCAAAATTTCTGAAAACTGCGTTACTTTTTAAGTGAGCATAAGATAATTTTTACATTTATACTTCAAAATTACAAATACCGCCACCAAATTTTAACTTAAACACATACAAAACACACACACACACATACATAAATAAGTTGTATTAGTTTGTAGGCAAGGCGTGACTGCGGAAAAAGTTGTATGCACGTTATTTTGCATGCGTAGTAGTTTACGCTTGTGCGTATGTATGTGTGCAAATGAATCTTCCAACGATAAATAATACCCTGCCCCATGTACAACAATTACAAAGCAACAATAAAGGTAATTGTCGCATTTTTTTTTTAATTAATAGCAAAGTGAATTCAGTGAGTCTAATTATTTGACCTTCCTAGACCGCTTTTAAGTACGCTCAAAAATTGCTTTATCAGGCATTATGGCCACTCGACGAGAAACGGGCAGTTCGGGAGTAAAAAAATAATATTTCATCAACAAAATGTTCGAATTTAAAAGTGTTGAACTCGGAATGAATAAAGAGATACTCGGAAATCCTCCCACACCTCATTCCAACACCCTCACTTAGGAGAAATAATCATTTTGACGATTTTCTCCTCAAAAACCGGCCATTCGGAAGACATTTTTAATTTTCTAAATTTCTGGGTGAATYCAAATKTATTTTTTCTTYWAWRAMARTATGCCCCATGCGATTCTGCAAATTTCTGCATTTTTATTTTTTTTCTACGACCAGTAGTTTAAAAGTTATAAGCTTTTTTGTATTCGCTTGTATTCGGCGGTTGCTTGCTGCATGCTCCTGGTCGCCTGGTAGAAATCTGAGATTTTGGCACCAAATTTAATGCAATTTTTTCTGCAGCGGCGGTGGATGCACTCAAATTTGCGTGCATACGCAAAGGGGCAAAATGGGGAACACGGATGCGGCAAATCCATTGCATATGTAAAGGGGCGACATGAGGAATACGGATGCGGCCATTTGCAATGCCCGGAAACAAGAAAAAGCACATCGACCGGAAACGAAATAGCGGCACCCCGTATCCAGTCCAAGACCCAAACCGGAAGTCGTGAACCGGAAACGGATGACTCTAACCGGAAGTAAAGCGTTTTCCGTTTCCGGATTTGCACTTCCGGTTCGACGACCGGGCCGGAAGTGAAATTCCGTTTTCTAGTTTCCGGTTCGGCGCTTCCGGTTCCGCTCCTTTTCTTCCGGTTGGTGCTCCAAACCGGAAGTTAGGTTCCGTTATTTCCGGTAAAGGATCTTTCCTGTTTCCGGACAGTGCAARTGTCCACATCCGTATTCCTCATGTCGCCCCTTTACATATGCAATGGATTTGCCGCATCCGTGTTCCCCATTTTGCCCCTTTGCGTATGCACGCAAATTTGAGTGCATCCACCGCCGCTGCAGAAAAAATTGCATTAAATTTGGTGCCAAAATCTCAGATTTCTACCAGGCGACCAGGAGCATGCAGCAAGCAACCGCCGAATACAAGCGAATACAAAAATGCTTATAACTTCTAAACTACTGGTCGTAGAAAAAAAATAAAAATGCAGAAATTTGCAGAATCGCATGGGGCATATTTTTTTAAAAGAAAAAATACATTTGAATTCACCCAGAAATTTAGAAAATTAAAAATGTCTTCCAAATGGCCGATTTTTCAAGAAATTAAGCAGTAACCTCTGCAGCAACTGGTTGCAAGAGTATAAAAAGCAACAAAAATATATAAGCAACTCATTTATTGTAACAATATTAATGCATAAACCGTTATATGTGCTTTTCATTGTTAAAACACGCATACACACAAACACCGATATACATACAGAAGCAACACAAAACAATCAGTAAACTCAAATTCCTATTTTCTTTGCCGCTTTGTTAAGTTAATGTTTACAGAACTTACAATATATTATAACTGACAATATTATACACATGCACACACACACATATTTAACTAACCATGTAGCAAGAATTTAAAAGCATGTGTGCRTTGACACAAATCTGTGTTTACGTTTGGGATTTATCGAATATAAACACAATGCGCAATTATTCAACTATTTTTTTCTTTGGAATAGCTAATTTTGTGTACATTTTATCATTTTGTTTATATAAAAAGCAATATTTTTAAGCATTTATTTAATTGTAATATTATTTTACTGTGATAAATATTTCGTAAATTAGCGATGAATGTAAAATTAGCGAGAGATAATGCTGAATAAAATAAATCAACTCAAGCCGTTGCATATTAATTTCTATTGGGTATGTGTTTATATTTTTTAAAAATTCGTATACAGAGAAGTGCATTTGGTAAGGTAAACAGCAAAAATCATCCCAGCACAAAACAAAAACAAATAGCTTAAACATGACAAGCTTTTAGCTGCAAAAGTAAGTTTTTAATTTCGTTAAGACCGTTGCATCTGCTGCCACCAGCGCTAGCTACAACTTTAGACAAAACCTTGCGTTTCAAAGCGATAGCCTCCACGCGTTTAGAAAGCTGAAATTTCAAATATTAGTCGACGCCAACAAGAATGTTAGAAGAAAATGGAAGCTCACCTCGTAAGCACGCTTTATAATCGGTTGTGGCATGCCAGCCAATTTGGCTGCATTAAAACCATACGACTTCGGGCAGGCGCCTGCGCTGTATTTGTAAAGGAATGTCACCGTCTCCTGTGTGGGATCTTCGTTATCCTCGTTTTCCACCATACAGGCCTACAAGTGAAAAGGTTATGTTGAAAATAAACAAATTGCAGTAGGTACAGAGTTATAGCTCACCATGTGACCCAATGTTATGCGTTCGTCTTTGTGGAAATATTCAATAAGATTGTGGTAGTGTGTAGAGAAAAGCGTGCGGCATTTCAAATCTGCGAGATAGTTGACTACCGAAGCAGCGATAGCAGTGCCATCATAGGTGGCCGTGCCACGTCCTTTTTCAAGCAAATATAAAAGCAATTTTTATTAGTTTTAGATATGTACATACATATAGATATTGCTATTGAGTTTACCTAATTCATCAAGCAGCACCAGGCTGTCAACCGTTGCATGCTTCAAAATCAGCGATGTCTCATTTAGTTCAACCAAAAATGTGCTCTGCCCAGCCATGATGTCATCCTGCGCGCCCAAGCGTGTAAAAATACGATCGACCAGCGAAATGCGACAATGCTCGGCTGGCACATGAGCGCCCTAGTAGTTGAAAATTTAACAGAAATTAAAAAGTAAATTACAGTGCATGTCAAACTTACGATTTGCGCCATCACTACCAACAAGCCCACCTGCCGCATAAGCGTACTTTTACCACCCATATTGGGGCCAGTTAGTATGGAGAGCGGTGCTGGTGTCTTACCGGTGCCTAGCATAAGCCCATTCGGTATGAAAGTGTCCGCTGCGGCGCATGGATGATAGCCATCTGCAATGTCTATAAATGGCTGCTGTTCGGCATTTTGCTCGTACAGTTCAGGCACACAGATGATTTGCTGTGCGCGTGCATACTCTGCCAACGAGGCTAAAACATCAAGATTGGCTACACAATCAACGCATTGTTTCCAGAGCTCATAGTGTTTGGAGAATTTTTCAAAAATACGGCGCGATAAATCTTTGAGTATGGCATCACGCTCGGTTTCGGCATGTTGCAATTCCTTTAGTAGTAACTGAAATGTTAAATAGGGGTGGTGAGCATACACTGGTGTGTTTCACTTTGAATACAGCAACGTACACGTGTTTCATTTGTTGAGAAGCGTCTCACTGGCTTGTTACCTTTCCGTTGACCCTCCAATTGGTAGG